AGTCCCTTCTAATGAGGTGGGTCTCTTGTAGACAGCATATGTATGGGTCATGTTTTTTTTATCCATTCAGCCACTTGATGTCTTTTGGTTGGAGCATTTAGTCCATTTACATTTAAAGTTATTATTGAAAGGTACTTGTTTGTAGCCATTTCTTTTTGTGTGTGTGTGTGGCTGTTTTCTTTCTGAGCTTGATGTTTGTTCTTTTTACACCAGTCCCTTTAGCATTTCTTGCATGGCTGGCTTGGTGGTGATAAACTCCCTTAGCCCTTTTTTGTCTGTGAAGCTTCTTATTTCCCCTTCAATTTTGAATGATAGCCTTGCTGGATAGAGTATTCTTGGATTCAGTCCTTTGCTTTGCATCACTTTGTAGATTTCCATCCATTCTTTTCTGGCCTGATGTGTTTCTGTTGAGAAATCATTTGATAATCTAATGGGAGATCCCTTGTATGTAACTTTCCGTCTCTTTCTTGCAGCCTGTAAGATTCTCTCTTTATCCTGAACATTTGCCATGGTAATTATGATGTGTCTTGGTGTGGGTCTTTTCGGGTTCACCTTGTTTGGGACTCTCTGGGCTTGTGTGAGTTTTTTCTTCCCCACCTCAGGGAAGTTTTCTGATATTATTTCTTCGAATAGGTTTTCTAATCCATGTTCATCTTTCTGTTGTTCTGGCACCCCTATTATTCGTATGTTGTTTCGTTTCATGTTGTCCCAAAGCTCCCTTAGGCTCTCCTCCTGTCTTTTAATTTTTTTCTCCATTTGCCGTACAGTTTGAGTGTGTTTTGCTTCCTTGTCTTCTAGTTCACTAATTCGGTCCTCCGCTTCTCCCAGTCTACTGTTGATACTTTCAATGGAGTTTTTTATTGAAGCTATGTCGCTCTTCATTTCTTCTTGGGACTTACTTAAGTTGTTGATTTTTTCATCTGTTTCTTCTAGCTTCTTGCATAAGTAGTTGAGTTTTTCATCTGTTTCTTCTTGCTTCTTGAACATCCGGTGCATGTACTCTAGGAACCTTATTCTGAATTCTTTTTCCGTCATGT